CTCTCCCCACCTCTCCAAAGAGTGAGAATTGGCAGGACTGCTCTTTTCACCTATGAATAGTCAGAAGAAATGAAGTTATGAACAGACAACTGACACTGGCTCCGCTGTTTGCAGAGCAAAGTGCTGTGTGGTGTGTGTGTGTGACTCTTGGAAATGGCATAGATCAGCTCTGGACAGAAATGTCAATGACAAGAAAACCTTCAGAGTATTCATTTGAAAATTTAACTCTTTAGGTGAAACTACAGCATTCATCTTTCCTGCACTTAAGTAAATCTGAATTAAAGCAGTTTCAGCTGCTACTGAAACTGGAATCCCTGGGGGAACTTTACATTCAGAGTCTGGCATAAAATATTTCTTGACTTTGCAGTACCTGCTTTTTTTGTCTTTTTCTTCATTTTGCTGTGCTTTTTTTTCCTCTTTTTTCCATTTCAACAGGTTTTTTTTTAAATGTCATATTTTTTTTTATCTGTGTTTAATAATGATGATTTTTACTTCATTGGCTAATTTTCTGAAATATGTCCCTTAATATATTTTATATATTTATAACCTTCTATCAGCAATGAACAGTACTGTTCTGGTAATTGATGTTTCAACTTTTTTTTTTCTTTTAGTGAACTTGTTAATTGGGTACTATTATTTTTACAAATAAAATAATCAGGTTAAGACAAAGATTTCAAAATTATTTAGATGTATTTTCTTTCATTTAATCATATGACACAAATTCCACATCATAAGAAAGAATAATAACAGTGACAGTTGTTCTTACTATTATATCTTCTATGTAGCCTAGTCCTAGACTTCATTATTTCTGCTCATATGAAAACTTTTTGTTTCTATGCTAGACATTTTCTGCTCCATGTCAGATGAATATATTAGTAAATACATATTTTTAGGGTAAAAAAAGAGATAAATAATTAAATTATTACTCAGTTATGATATGAAATAAATATTGAAACTCCAAATTGATGTGAGAAACCATAGCCCCCTTGTTTCATTCAGCACAGCCAAATCTATTGCCTCCCATCAAATCCAAGGCAGAGTAAAAAGAATTGTTTCCCCAAGCTAAGTTTTTCGGTAGTGTCATATAACACAATATGCATGTGCCACTATTTCTCTATCTATTCTCATAATTTTGGGTCCCTCAGTACAAGAAAGACACTGAGGTGCTGGAACATGTCCATAGAAGGGCAGCGAAGCTGGTGAAGGGTCTGGAGCACAAGTCTTATGAGGAGCAGCTGAGGGAACTGGGATTGTTTAGCCTAGAGAGGAGGAGGCTGAGGGGAGACTTTATCACTCTCTACAACTACCTGAAAGGAGGCTGTAGTGAGGTGGGTGTTGGTCTCTTCTCCCAGGTAACTAGTGATAGCATGAGAGGAAATGGGCTCAAGTTGCACCAGAGGAGGTTAGATTGGATACTAGGAAAAAATTCTTCACCAAAAGGGTGGTCAAGCATTGGAACAGGCTTCCCTGGGAAGTGGTTGAGTGACCGTCCCTGGAGGTATTTAAAAGACTTGTAGATGTGGTGCTTAGGGACATGGTTTAGTGGTGGACTTGGCAGTGCTAGGTTAATGGTTGGACTGGATGATCTTAATGGTCTTTTCCAACCTAAACGATTCTATGATTCTATAATGGTAGCTGCAGACACAGGAGCATAACTGAAAATTACTATCAGACAGTTTATTTTGTCCAAATGCTGCATGCATTATATTTTCTTTATTACAAATATAATCCTGAAGTGAGTGGGAATTTTTGTCTCACTTTGTGCCTATGAGCAGTGATGGTCCCAATGATGCAGACTCCGGCTATTTCTGTAACGCCCCTGGTGTCAGGCTCAGGCTTAACAAACAGAGCAGTCAGCTGCATCCCCACCGCGCTTGGGGCAGAGCTCAGGTTTGCCTGTGCCGGCCCCCTCTCCACTAGCGACAGAGTGTGACAGAGGTGTAGACAGTGAGGTCATGAGCTGAGACTGGAGTATGACCTCCATCCCCAAGCGAACACAGAGTCTAGATGACAGGGCAGTCTCAGAGGTCTCCATGTCTTTAGTGCAGGCAGGATGACTGCTTCCCAAGAGATTACTATATGCTTGTGCGTGTGGTAATTTTTTTTGTATGTTCAAGGGCAAACCAGAGGTGTGTCCTCCCAGCCTTCACCTGTGCAATTAGTGCAAACAGAGCCAATTGGAGCCCTCTGCTTCCACCATTACCTCCTTTGTCTTAATCTCACTATTTTAGTGTCTCAGCTCTTTGCCTTCTCAGTACTTACCAAGTTCCTACTGTTGACTCCATTTCATTTCCACCAGCCATTTTATTCCCTTGTTCCTCCATTTTGGTGTCCCTTTGGCAGAAGCCACATCTGCAGTTTTGGCACTATGAATCATCTTTAACTCATTGAAATACACAACACCTGATAATTTGAAGTTGGCTAGAGGCAATCAGCAATTAAACCCGTTCTCTGTCCCATCAGCGTGTGAGGACATTAATGGCATGCTCTGCAAGGCAAACAAGTCTCCCACATGACAAACAGAGCATTCTTTGTAAAACTGCTTGTTTGGGTGCTTCAAGAGACAGCATACCTCGATTCTATAATGTGCTGGCAATGCCAGAGAAATTAGGGGCCTCTTGCTGTGACACGTCCTTTTTATTGCAGTTTGTGGTGGATTTGGTTCACTGCTCACACCCAGCATTTGTAGGAGGCTAAGGGGATGAATACAGTTCCTTTTAACTAATGTTGAGATAGGACTACTGTTGTGTTTCCCTAAATACTGCTGCTTTGTAAAAGGTATGATCATGGGGAACTATTCTCAGCAGAAGTGGAAAAAAACCCTTACAAGCTTTTTTGTTATTGACGAGACAGCACAATGAAATAATTTTGTGCTGACAAATAGTTTAGGGCTAAAGAAAGAGAAAAATTTTGAATGATATCTTTAAAACCTTTAGTGGGATTACCATGTTACTGGGTACATTGTTCTCTTGAAAACCAGAAGATGCAATATCAATTACTCATCTAACATTTAGACTCAAATTCTGAAATTTTATGCAAGTGAAATAGCCATATTTAGCTTTTGCAAAACATATTATTAAGCAGACCCATATAGTGAGTGCAAAGTGCACTATTCTTATCCATTTTTTACAGGGGTTGCTCTGAAATGTCATACATACCTGCTGATAATGAACTTAAACCAAAGTTGTTTTATAAGTTGAAATCTATTATTGAAATAATTTGTTAGACAGCATTACTAGTAACACAGAATCATAGAATAATAGAATGCTTTGGGTTGGAAGGGACCTTTAGAGATCATCTAGCCCAACCCCCCTGCACTGAGCAGGGACAGCTTTAACTACATCAGGTTGCTCAAAGCCCCATCCAACCTGACCTTGAATGTTTCTAGGCATGGTGCCTCCACTACCTCTTTGGGCAACCTGTTCCAGTGCTTGACCACCCTCACTGTAAAAAATTTCTTTCTTATGTCTAGTCTAAACCTATTCTTCTTTAGTTTAAATCCATTACTCCTTGTGCTGTCACAACAGGCCTTGCTACAAATATCATCCCCATCCTTCCCGTAGGCCCCCTTTATGTACTCAAAGGCCACAATAAGGTCTCCTCACAGCCTTCTCTTCTCCAGGCTGAACAACCCCAACTCTCTCAGCCTGGCCTCATAGGAGAGGTGCTCCAGCCCTCAGATCATTTTTGTGGCCCTCTTCTGGACCCACTCCAGCAGGTCCATGTCCTTTTTGTACTAAGGGCCCCAGAGCTGGATGCCGTACTCCAGATGGGGTCTCACCAGAGCAGAGTAGAGGGGCAGAATCACCTCCCTCGACCTGCTGGCTACACTTATTTTGATGCAGCCCAGCATACGGTTGGCTTTCTGGGCTGCAAGTGCACATTGCCGGCTCATGTCCAGCTTTTCCTCTACCAGTACCCCCAAGTCCATCTCCACAGGGCTGCTCTCAATCTCTTCATCCCCCAACCTGTACTGATATCAGGGGTTGCCCCATCCCAGGTGCAGGACCTTGCACTTGGCCTTGTTGAACCTCATGAGGTTCACACAGGCCCACCTCTCCAGCTTTTCCAGGTCCCTTTGGATGACATCTCAACCTTCTGGCAAACATATATTTGGTTCATCTTTCAGTACACGAAGGAAATTATTCACATTTCAGCAGGTGTTTCTCCTAGCTAAAGGAAAAAATACACAAATGTTCATGACCATGAACATATTTACTTAGCCATAGGAATGATGATGTAATGTTTCTTCAGAAAAAAACAAGTAGCTTCTTTTCTGAGAATTTCATTTTTTGCTGACTTTTACTCTCTCTCTGTCATTTTAAGTATGTTTGATTGCCTCTCCTAGATATATAGCTTCAGCAAATGAAGCCTTTTTTTTTGCTGTATCCTTTGGTACTTACATACTAATATAGCAATGCATAACCTTTTGACCACATCCACAGCATCATATGCAGGATTTGTATTTTGATCCCCATTTTTCTTCTGTTTACATGATCTTATTTTACCAAAGGCCATGGAGAGGCCACAGGCAAGTTCTAAAAAGAAGGTCTGACAATCTTTTGTGTGATCATTTAAAAACTAAGTTTAGAATTCAGATTATTTTTACTTTTCTGTTAATGGACTACAATTTATGCTGCAGAAAGTGAGCTCCTATGCACTGTGTAAAAGTAAACTGGAAAAATGTCAGTAAAAAGTACAGCATTCTCTACGATGCAACATTTATCAAATTGTCCTTAAATTATAAAACCAAACTAGAAGTGCAACTAAAACAGTTTTGCTCAGGAAAAAAATGTAATTTGATACAAAGCTTAAAAGCATCTTGTTTCTCACAGAGTCGGAGATTTGCAGACACATGTGTCTGTGTAAAAAATTGGGCCAAAATACACTGAAATTTATGTTCTCAGTGAGACTGAAATTTCAGACTGCGTAGGTTTCACTGCTAGTCCAAAATCTGGGGAGAGACTTAAATTCTGTCCTTGTGAGCTGTTGATATTCAGTCAATGTAGCAACATTATTAAGATGAAGATTTGAACATGAGCAAAGCTGTATCCCAAGCATCTTCTTTTGCCAAGTCCAAAGATCATTACTTTTTCAGTTATGTCCTTGTTTATTGGGCAGTTGTCATGGACAAATCTTCCAGGGTTCAATAGGCCTGGGTTCGTCCATTCTAAAAATAAACATAGTAAGGCTGGATGTTTGCCTGTCTAATTTTCTAATCCTATGTTAGGATCTAATATCAGTCTGCTAGTTTGGGGAAAAAAATGTTTTACTCTCTAGAAAATACTTACACTTTTAGAACTTATGTGTACTACAGTGAAGCCTAAATTAACCCCTGAATAATTTTTTCATTCAACATGGCTTCTAAGAAAATCCAGGCTTAATAACTAAAGTAGGAAGTGAGAAAGATGGGTTAATCTAGGTGATGAGTCACTTGTTTTTATCGTAATAGAATTTTTTTTCTAAGGAGCAGAAAGTGAAATTTTGCTAGTTTCATTCTTTTAACATAGGAAAGCTTCCACATAACCCAGCACAGGCAGACAGGTGAAATACCTGTTTTATCTGATACTTAGATTTTGAGGAGGAGTGCCAAGTGGACATGATTTGCCATGTCTTATAATTTTTAAGGGTACATCACTATAATTTGCATTTAGATTAATTGCAAATTATATTCATAGAATATATGCCTACAGTAATAGAGCTATTAATTGTTCACCTTTGATTAAGGTGAACAGTACCACTACAAAGGAAAAGCAGAACTTCTGAATATTCAATACTGGTAATACCAAAGCCTATAATGACTAAATACAACAACCAGTAAAGTTCAACTTACATCCATGGTTGAATCATTGATGAAAACACAGGTATCTCTGGGAGTAAAATATCCATCTAGTACAGGGTCTTCGATAGCACTGAGCAGCAAATGAAATAATGAGGCATTCATGTTCACCTCAATCTACCATTCATACATATTCTTGGTATTCAAAGTGTTGTTTCTGGTAAATGAAATTTCCAATGGAAATTTAGTTGAATTCTTTTCAATTTCTTAAATCATAGAAGTTTAATTTCAAAATAAATAAAAATAATTTTCAGTGGAACTCATTTTTTATTTCTTCTCTTCCTCTTCATGCTTGAACATTTTCAGAATACTAAAGTAACTGGTATGTCAAATTGCACAGTGCAATTTGCTTACAAAGAGACAAATGAAAACTCAAGAATGTTTTTCTTTCCCTTAAGCTCATTTGGAATATAGACTATTATTATTATGCCTTCTTAAATAATATAAAAATCTACTTTATAAAGCGTAAGAACTATAGGAAATGTGTAGGATACAGACACCAAAAAAAATTAGTAAACAGATTCCTGTACTACTCAAATTAGTCTCTTAACCAGGAATGTGGGACAACCTAAGTCTTCAGCTTCTAAAAACATTCTCTTATTAAATCTGAATGTGCTATATCTTCAAAAATTCCCATTTTCTTTATATTAAGATTTTAAAAACTTTAGCTAATCTTTTGTGAATGAAGAACTGTGAAAGTCACATATGACAAATGCCCAAGCACTTCATAAATGAAAGTTTTCCTGTAAGGTATTGAAGATCTGTCTCCAAATCTTGGTAGCTGCCTCCCCCCTGATGTTTTATTCTGGATGTGCAGAAGTAAAGATTAATGCTGCTGAAAGAGACATAAAAGTGTTCATACAACATATGCACTGCAGCTAGAAAACATCTGGCAAAACTACTGCAGAAATGTATCACAGAACCTGCCTCAAGAAGTGTAATCTTTGCCTGTCTAAAATTCAGAGTATATGAAAAATGATAAAGCACCACAAAATCCTGATGTTTTCTTGCATACAAAGTCTGTACTATGATGCTTTCTACCTTTGGCTCCTAGTGTCCAATTTTAAAATGAAACTATTTAAACTATACAGGAATTAAACTATATTTAAACTGTACAGAAATAAGACAAAACTTATGTTCCACATTACAATTCTGATTTGTGTATGGCCAGCAAAGAAGAAAATTGCAGATGGGTGTGGGAATGGATTGTATTCTTTATTCTGGTCCAGCTGAAATACGGGACCATAGTCTAACTCCCTTACTCATGTTGACTATCCTCTTTATATCTACCTACAGAATAAATACAAAGAAGAGAGAATCAGATTTTTGTAACTGTAGGTGGGATCCACACAGACACAAAAGCTTAGGTGGACAAACTCTCCCTCTGGAGTCTTTTAAAACTGCCAACTTTTCTCCATTGACTATAAGAAAAATGAGGTATGTGCTTCAGAAGGACTGTTTTCCTGCATAATTAAATCTTAGATCCAAATGAAGTTCTCAAATTAAACAGATCATATCTCATCTATGTGTAAAACATTTTTATACAGACAAATTTTCAGACCATTTACCAATTTCCTGTGATATAGCTTTCTGGACTTTGGGAAATAAAATTAGATTAAACACCAGAGCAATCCAGTTGTAGCTGTATCAAAACCTATAACATTAAGCATTACATTTTACCTTATACGTGTCATTACAATTACTCTGTAAAAAAGATTTAATTGTCAGAGTGCCTGCCTTTGGCCTAATGAGACAGAAATCAGTTTCATAAGCGTAAACAAGGACCAACACATGTACAGAAAAATAAAAATATTTAAAATTTTATACACATTTATATTAGCTGTGCAATGCAAATATGGAGGAAGAGGAAAAGGAAGAGGAGTAATGTCTCCATTTGAATAACTTTATGTGCTAACTTTACTACTCCAACTTTGAATTTGTTGATATAACTAAAATAAGTAACTTTGATATTTAACCTGTAGGTAGCTTTTTAGACTGAAAGCACAGTCTTGATAGGGGATACAGTGTTCTACATATCTGAAAAGTATCCTGTACAGTGGAGCTTTGATATGGATTCCAATATTGTGACTGCATTAAAATTACACTTGCAATTCTAATGATTACAACATAGTTGAGCAGTTAGTGGCATTTTTAAAAAGTCAAAAGAATAATTAAGAAATTACTTGCATGCAAAACATGTTTGTATGTTTAACTCGCAAATAATTTGGCTGAATTCATCATGATGCAGAAAGACAGAACTCTTACATAAGCACTTTATATGCCACACCACATATAAGCATATTTATGATTTTGATGATTAATTAATATGACATTAAACATCATCTTTCAGTGAAAGACAAGAAACTATATCTATTGAAAACAAGTTATGGAATTAGTTCTTAAACAATAGTTTCATTATTATTTTTGCTTTAAAATGTCATTTTAATGACTGCAATAAATAATATACTGCAGTACATAGAAAGAGTGCAATAGGATATAAGTTAAGAGGGAAGTTTATTTTTAAATTTATTTTATAGTACAGAGAGACCAATTGAAAATAATTGTTTGATTTATGATATTATAAATTACTGAAGATGCTATTTTTAATATTCCTTGTGATGGAAAATCATACTTGATCTTAGAGGATTGCAATTGTATGAGTTCTCTTGTTTAAAAATAGACATTGATATTATATGAAAAACTGGCAGGTTGTATTTTAAAAAATATGATGGCAAGACTATAGTAACTAAATTAATAAATTTATCCTTCTGTATAATACTAAAAGGGACCGTAATGTCTTCTTTACTTTTTGTAATCATTGTCATTTCATGAATTAGTAATGAGAAATATACTGAAAAGTGAACAAAAGATAAAAACAAAGCTCACATCATATGTTCAGGAATGAATTATACTGCCATTACACTAGATTTCTGCACTTTCCATCAATTAACACTAAAATGGCCTCAACATTTTTATTTCACTATTGCTTTACATCCTAAGCTATCAATACCATGACACATAATATTACCAACTTACTAAAGAATTGAACTGCACACAATCTTCAAAAGAGCAGTTGCTAATAATGAAACACAGTAACATTGCAGTCCATTTTCATGGCAAATTTTGCCAGGCATTTTGTGTGGATTGCCATAATTTAATTGCCTTCTACTTCATCACATCTTTCAAAAGCTGAAACACACAACAGATTATAAGTCTTGAAATTCACAACTTCAATTGAAGATAATTCTCTTTTAAATGGAGATATGTTAAAATCAGATGCAGAACAGTGCAGGGTTAAATCTTTAATGGTTAAAGTAATGGAAATTCACACTTCTCTCTGCCCTCCTTGAACTTTCTTGAGCTGCAAATTAAGAGAAAATCTCACAGAAACAACCATTAGCATAAGCAAATGCACTTTCATTAGTATAGATGAGAATTATGCCATTGATAACAATGTAAGAAGGATACAGACCTCCTAAGTGGTGCTTGAATCCTTCCTTTTCCCCATGTCAACCAAATAGTGAACTAATGTCTCTTAGAATATATTTAACTTTGATTGAATATGACAGTTATTGGATAGTAAACTCAGGGGTTCTGAGATCTAACAGGGTGATAGGGATGCAGGGACCCAATCAACCCCTCTGTCATCCTTTCAAAAGCTTCCAATTATGTGTGATTTTCAGATTGCATGTGTTTTGTTCTAAAATTCAGCTGAAATTCTCATTGCTGTAAGTGGGAGCTACAAGCATATGTCATTAGTAGGACTGTAAGTAGGTTAGAGCATTTCATGCATTGTGTACTATACAGGGCTTTTTGCCCACATTCTGTGTGTAAAGAGGTCCAGACTGAATGCTGACCCTATAGACTTTGAACTTCAAGAAAGGGTTGATTCTGGGTGCTAATGCAGACTGTCATAAAATTTGTACCTGCTGAGATCTAAAACAAGAGGTAAACTAATGTGGGGCAGTTAAAAAAGAGTCCAGATCCATTTATTATGAAACATATTCTCCTTTGTTCTGTGGTTTTATTTCTTCTAGCTCAGGATCATCCATCTCTCTGTGGTTCCAGATATCCCCTATTTCCCAGTGTGCCTTTTTCTTTCCCTCTTTGCACAGTTTTTGCTTTAATAAACGACACTATTCATTAATCTAGCCGTGATAGTTCTCATTGAACGCGACCAGACACTTTAAGTGTGGCCGTGGTAGTTCATGGAACACAACTAGATGGAAGGTGCCTCTCATTATTTGTGCATCCGTAATCGTGATAGTTCAGTACAGTGAACACGACCGGACTTATAATGAGTTGGGCATCTGCCAAATTACTTTAACCTCTTAATGCAACAACAGCGATATTGAAAAGTTGAGCTTTTTGAAATTAGTAAGCACTACTTTTCAGTAAAATGTCTACAGACTCCAGGAAAAGAATCTGTGTTGCTGTCATCTTGTTTTGTGTCAGCAGGGTTAATAGATGAAAGCCCTGTTTGGCCCAAATCTAAACATTTTTTCTGAGTTGTATAATCAGACCCAAATATTCAGAACTACACACTTCCAGCCTGCAGATAAAACATGTTATCTTTTGCCACTGTGGCTATTATGGTACATGTTGCACAAACTAGTAGACAAAGAAGAGAACATTTCATATTTGATATTTTATATTCTGCTGAATTTCCTTAAGATGAATATTGCTTTCTTAACAAGAGAAAAGATGCATTCCATATGTTGAAAAACTAACAACTTACAGCTTTGGAGATACTTCAGCAAGTACACAGACTTTACAAGAAAATAAAATTAGAAGATATTTGGGCTTCAGAAAAGAAAGATGCTGATTAGGCAGATTTTTAAATGTTGGCAATGAAAATATTAATGTCCTTAGAAGGACAGCTTTTCTTGACTTGAAACCTTTTTCTGTTTTACAACCTCTCCATAGTCCCAAGATTGCTGTTACCTCAACCTATTTGTTGTTTTGTCTGCCTGTTCCACCTAAATGCTTAAAATGAGTTTTGACTTATTGTTAAAGGCAAGGAGGTTTTTAAAAGAATTAATTGTCATCAGTGCTAGCTGTAAAAGAATAGTTCTGCTTAGGATATATTGTCACAACTTCTTGTCCTTTTCCTGGTTGATATTTGTTCTCTATTTAAGGATATTGGAACATGCTAAAACATCAAAGTGCCCCACTACACTTTCTCATGCTTTCTAATAGTTCAGAGCAGGAAGAATAGGGGAAGAAGTTGAAGACCCCAGTAACTGCCAAAGTAGTAAAGAAAACTGTACCTTTTTGAAATATAAGCATACCTGCCCCAAATACGTCATTGACAGTGGAAAAAATCTGCTCATTTGTCAACACAGCTTCACCACTTTGAATTTTTTGGCCTTCACACAGTGCAATCAGAGCATCAATAGTATCTCAAATGCAGTTCTACAAAGCAAAATGTGGATTATTTGTTTATTCTTCAGAATTTAACATAGGAAGGAGATATAAAATTGCACTTTAAATAGGAGACTATTTTTTTCGGTACCCTAACCCTACAACTCCTTGATAAAGTGAAGGACAAAAAAAAAAGTGATAAATTGTAATTTTTCTTATATGAAATCAAGGGGTTCTTGAAGAATGAAGACCAAACCTTCTCACTTGATTGTAGGAGATATAGTGTCCCTGAATATTTGTGTTTATGAAACCTTTTCTTGTTTTGAACGCAAGTGAAGACACACCTGTGTTTACTGTCAGGAAGATGATGAAAAGCAGGGAAAAGATCTGCAGCATTGCTACAGCTGAAGATCTGCATAGCCTTATGGCTGACTTGAAGAACTATGAGGAACTCCTTGTCATTTTGGTTGTACCTTTTTCCAAAACAGAGGTTACAGGTGACACTTACTAATCATCCGGTGGGGAAGCTAACAAGATCAAAGATACCTGCTGTGTCTCAGAGGTCCCTAAATGCTCTCATAACCTCTGAAACTTCAAAGTGTATTTGTTGCTGTAGCAGACAAGAGCATGTGAGGTTTTTGTCTGCTCTTGATGACAGCTTTCTCAGGGCATTTTTTGCAATCTCCTTGTGGACATTCCATCCTTCTCTATATTTTTTAGTGAAAGTGATAAAACTTTCATTTTCAGTCAGAGAAAAATTATAAAGGTCTGATCAGCCAACAGAACTTTCTCCTTGTATTTCTAAAGCCTGCTTAAATGTGTCAATGCCATGCAGAACTACCACTGGCAGGGATCCCAGCTCTGTTTAAAACATGTCTCATACTTCTCTCTTAATTTTTTTAGTATTATATGAGGATCTTTTCCAAGCTCCAGCAAGTTTCCACTGATCAGCCAAGGGGTTGGACCCAGAGGCCTCTTCATCCTTTCCTTACTTGTCTTCTTCCATTTTATAGCAACAAAGGCACCTGCAAATACAAACAGCCTTATCATCTCATAATTGTGCAACAGTGCTGTGAATATTTCTGTGTATGATAGATTCTAAAATAAAAAAAAGTGTTCAACACAGTGTGTGTCACGGTACACACAGACCAGCTAAGAAGCACACATGCTTCAATGAGAAGTAAAAGAAAAACCTAGCTATTGCCAGTATTGATTATAGTTCTGCTTATACTTGATGAAGCTCATCCTGCATTAAGAGGGCATCTTATTCACTGCATGAAGCCCTTGAAGTCCCCTTTAGATTCTGTATTGCTATGAAGCTAAAAATGTAGTCTACCTCTTTCATTCAGCCTTAAGTAAAAATCTAGCTCCTTTTATGATTTTTTTTTGTTGTTATTTTACACTACAGAAAACAAACAAACAAAAAAGAGCTGCTATAAAGCAAATACATTTTTGCCTGTGATAAACTTTATGGTTTTGGAAGAAGAAATGTAGCAGAAGCTAACAATAAGTACGGGTGCATTGCAGATTTCAAGTAATAGCTGGACTTGCAGGTATTATCTGCTTTTTTCAGTTTTTATCAGGTGAAAAACTGCAGGATTATACAGGCACCACAAAAAGAAAAAGAGGTCCTCAGTCAGTAACACATTTGTAAGAATCTTCATCTGCCCTCACATCTAAAGATGTTGCTGATGAGACATAATATTCATTAAGTAATAAACAATTTGCTTGAGTATTTTGCCACTGTATAACTCTCAAATGCACATCAGAAGCACGTCTGTTCCTATAGACAATTGTCCCTCAAAAGATATACCACATATTCTTTGATTTTTCTTTTTTTTAAGTTAAATGAATTATTATTCCTCTTAGTGCAGCCAAAATTGCTGTTCATTACCACCATATTATCTTGCTTATCAAAAACATATGCAGTATATGCTAGATAGAATCATAATATACAGTTTTTTGCTATTATTATATGACAGTTCAGTAAGAAAAACATAAAACATTTTAAACAACATGCCATTACAGACTTAAGTTTGAACAAACATAAAACAAACACAAGTTCCTCAAACCTTCTTTTTTCTAACTGAATGAATAATTTTTATATAAATCTTTCTTAATTAGTATACTATCATGCAACAAGTAAAATTGTATAATTATATAGCATTGAAGAGCCATGATCAATAGTTTACCCAGAGAGAAGCAAGTTATTAAAATCAAACAATTGTAGAAACATGAATAGATTATGCATATATATACACAATTCTTTACATGAACAGTTTAGTCTTACCCAGTCTAATCTCTGAAGAAATTCAGTATTTTAAGTACAGTCTGTATTCTCTTTGCAAACATTATTATATTTTAAAGAGTAAAAATGTGTCACTCCTGATTCTGTTCTGCTTCTTTTATGGAGGTAGACTTTGTTAAGAAATAATTCCTTTTCAGGATTTGAGTGAGAAGGCATATTGACATGTTGCATTGATGGAAATAGGTTGTACCTTGATATTTACAGCCAGTTCCTTCAGAGCTTCTGCAGCTGTTTGAGGCTAGACTGAAAAACTTTCAAACACTCTTCTGCTCCTAAATTTTAGGGGAGGAGAAAAAGGGAGGAGCTGGTGATGCCAGAGAAACCATAGAAGAGAACAGTAAATTACAGAGCATGCAGACTTAATTCAGACAATTATCTGCAAAATAAAAATATGTTTTGCAAAAAGGGTTCCAAAGAATGGCTTAAACTGCTACCAAAACAGAAGGTGGTTCTTCTCACAAAAGTCACATTGGCTGCATGATTATCATCTGTCTTGTGTGCTGCATTTCTTCTACATATTTTCTTTTCTGAGAAGCAATAAGTGAGTTTTGCTTGCATCAGAGTTAGCTTTTTTCTATGCCTTTTCCTCTGTGTGTGATTCATTACCATTTTTGTGACACCTAGTGAGAACCTTCAGCTCCCTGGGAAGTGCAGCATGATCAGTGCAGTATCATGTCTACCTAGTTAAAGATCAGAGTAAAGGCAAGTTATATATATGGCCTGAAAACAGAAATCTTACTGGATATGCCAGAAACATTGCAGCATAGAGGTGTAAAACCTTGCTGATTTTCTTTAGAAAATGTCCTTGTCACCTTACTGAGGGAAAACAGCAACAGAGCTACCAAAATTTTGAGACACAATACCACAGATGGGAAATTTTTTCTCCCTTTATTATATGTATTCAACTTAGGTGTCCCCTCAGTTGTGAGAGCCATGTTCAGCCTTCACCTCCACTGGATGCATGTCTAACCAACATACTGCTTTACAAAAATTATTCTAGACAAGCAAACCATACTAAACTTTCCTTCCCCCACAGCAAGAATGAAAATATAGACTTATATGTTTCCTTGTTTACTTTGTTCATTTTTTCTGCCCTATCTTTAAAAGAATATTGATTTTCAAGAATCCCTAGTCTAAGTGCTTAATAAGTCAATTTAAAGGCATGGAGCATATGCAAAAACAGGGTATGCCAAAAGAGCTACAAAGACACAGGGATTCTTTGCAGCAACAGAGATAAGCACAGCATACGTAAGTTGGTCAGTGTGCCAAGAGACACTGGAGGCAGGAAAATGGCCTAAACTATAGCATCTAAACAGTCCTTCAGTCCTTCAGTCTGAATGCAGTTCTGCCTGAACAGGTATTTTAACATCTTGACACTGAACTTGGACAGATTTTAAAATTGGGCACAAGTGAAATTTGTGCTTGTAGTTTATCTTTGTAGCAGAAATGAGAGTCTAAACCAAAAAAGACCTATCTTTCGAACCATAAGGAAGACCTCAACGTGTGCTTGATGCCTGATTAAACCATGGCTTGTTCCTGCTGAGA